GAGACGAGGCCGAGAGCAGAGGCAGGGCCTGCCCTGGTCAGGGGAGCATTGCATTTGATTCTGTAAGCCCAAAGGGAGCCAAAACAAGGTTTAAGCAAATGGAGATCCGACCTGATGTTTCATAAAAATTACAGCAGGATCCCAATTAGGAAGGGGCGGCTCCCCTGTTAAGCGTCCAGCACTCTCCCAGTGAGATCTCTCACCAGCCTGGGAGCCGGGCAGCTTAGCCACTGAGCTTTGAGTAACAGGCAACCCAACTCACATCCTTAAAAGGAGCGTCATAACCAAATTGTGAGGGGACCAGGCCCTACGAGGACCTGTCCAAGGACTCTGCAAGTGGATAAGTTGCAAAAATTGGAAAGAAAGAAGAGTGAGAATGACACAGCGTCCGCCAGAGCATCGTCCCCACCCACCGTGAGGAGCGTCACGGAGCAGGTGGCTCTGTGCGGATGGAAGCTGTATTGCAGGAGGTCGTGGCTGGGCTGGGAGGATTTTAGCAGGTAGAGACACAACCAAGACCTTGTAGAGAAATTTGATAATTGCCGACGCTGACGGATAGTTTTAGGAATTCCCTGGGACCTGTTGTGAGGTAAATGATTAATTTGCTGTGTGTAAGACTTCGCGTCACAGAGGAAGAGTGTCACCCCAAAAAAGAGGGACTATAACAGCTGTGCTCAAATGCTATCAGTAAAGCCGGCAGAGAAATCCCCCTCACAGTGAAGTGCAGCAACTCTGTCATTGGAAAGTGCCAGAGAGAACCCCCGAATGCCCAAAAAAGTTATTTGAAAGCATTAGATCAAATTGTGGTTTCTAAAAAATTATTCTTTGAGTACTCTAAGGAAAGATATCTCAGGCACTAAGTGCCAGAAATGCAAAATATGAATATTTCCCGTAGATATGTTTACTATTGTCGTCAACACCACCATCAATACTTTTGCCATCAAATTACAAGTCAGATTCTCCCTGCCATGAAAAACCTCAGGGTCTGATAATGTTGACGTGATTTCGATGCCTAACTTGCCACCAGGCTCATTCTAAGGCAGTGGTTCTCAACCTTCTGGCCCTTTAAATACAGTTCCTCATGTTGTGACCCAACCATAAAATTATTTTCGTTGCTACTTCATGACTGTAATGTTGCTACTGTTATGAATCGTCATGTAAATATCTGATATGCAGGATGGTCTTAGGCGACCCCTGTGAAAGGGTTGTTCGACCACCAAAGGGGTCGCGACCCCCCAGGTTGAGAACCGCTGTCTAAGGTGATACCGCCCTTCACATCCGGGAGACTGAAACCACAGGCTTGTGTGTAGTAAAATGTGCCAAAGCAGTGGGTCAGTCATTTTTCACAAGTAACTCGATAGGTGATTGTGGAATAAAAGCCCATTGCGCAAGGAGCTCCATGGCCACTCTAACAGGGATTGCCTGCGTGCAGTAGGTGCGCGGCATCCTATCTAAGTGAACTGTGCAACCGGCGGCACGATCCTGATTGGGCAGGGCAGCCGTTTCAATCGCTCTGGGCTCATCACACCGGCTCTTCCTCTCATTCTATTGCATTATATTGTACCTGCTGCTTTCTTCCCTGTCTCCTCCAGCAAACTGTAAGCAACTTGAGGGCAGGGATGGAGCTGTATCCATTTCAAAGCCGGCCTAACCATTTCTAACCGGGGGACCTAACACAGAACTTCTCAAACTCAAACGTGCATTAGAATCATCCTGCCAACCCACAGGCCTTCTGCATCAAACCATATGGGGTCCAGCCTGAGAATCTGCATTTTAACCAGCGGCCCTCCCCCTTTGGTGATTCTGATCAGGTGGTCAGGGAACACTTCTCAGTCGACAAGCCCAGGGTGTAAGCCAGGGACACCTGCTTCGCATCAGAGAGGGCCAGGATTTTCCCACTTCTGCATCCACTAGCTAGAGGGCAGACAGGTACAAGTTCCTTCAATTCTTAGTGCCTCAGCTTCCTCAGCAATAAAATGGGGATGAATAGAAATTCAAAGAAACAGCAGAATGGTGATTGCTAGAGGCTAGGGAAGGAGAACTGGGGAGTAGTTGTTTAATAGGAACTGACCAAGTTTTACTTTTGCAAGATGAAAAAGTTCTGGAAATCGGTTACACAGCAATGTGAATATGCTTAATACTACTGAACTGTACACTTAAAAACGGTTGAAATGGTAAATTTTAGGTTATGTTTTTACCACAATTAAAAAGAAATAGAAAAAAATATTGTTAATGGGGATGGGTAATAGTATCTGCCTCACACTCTTGTTACGAGCATTACATGAAATAAAATATGTCCAGTGCTAGGCTAGCAACTGCTCAAAAAATTATTATTATTGTTCTAGTCATGGTTCTTAAGGTCTTTAACCTTGAGTGAGTTACTATTTAAACCAAATGATAGTCTGAATCTTCATGGTGATGGAAGTTCCTTTGCTTTGCAAATGGTATGTGTGCCACTTTCTCAGGAATGCACGGGGCTATGAAACTGAAATTACCTGTAACCATTTATTAAGGAATGTTTCCAACCCTCCCTACAAATCCAAGCAGCTTTTGACAAACTGTTTTTCTAAATCCTGACCAACAGCCCAGTCACATTTCTCAGGTAGATCCATATGTTTAAAAAAAAAAAACAACCCATATTGTTGGTTGATATATCACATTTCTCAGGTAGATCCATATGTTTAAAAAAAAACAACCCATATTGTTGGTTGATATGTGAAAGCAGGAGAATATTCATGGTGGGCGTCTAATTCTTAACCCTAAAATCCTCAGTTTGCTGAAATGAAGGAAACAAAGAACAAATAGGTTGAATTTTGTTTTCCAGCTTGAGCTTCATGAAGTTAAGCAAAATCTGCCACCGTAGAAGCAAGAAATGGTGTCTTCTGTCTTAAAACACTACATGGAATATTCTGCCCCTTTGATATGCACGTGGAACCCAGAGCAGATTCAGGGAGCGTGGCATAGACCCAACGCCGTCATTTTGATTCTCTGTGCATTGTTTTGATTTCATGTGCATCTATGCTAATGTCATCTCGCCAGCCCATTATTTCAGCCTTGGCAGGACAGATGTGCTATTTTACAGGGCCGCAATCCACTCGGTGGGCGGGTCACCAGGAGGCCTTTGGTCTTCAACATTTACTCCACTAAGGAGACTAGACTATTGCCTTGTAAAACAGCATGAGACTCACACCCTGATTTCACGTCTCCTGCTAACGCACGGAACATCCTTGGAACTTCTACCAAATTCATAAAATTCATCATAGTCCCAGAGCTGACCAAAATCAGTTCTAGGCTGAATGAAATTAGTCACAGGCCAACCTGGGGGTATAAATGGTAAAAATAAGAGGGTAAGAGATGACGGATTTTAGTCTATGCAGGTGTTCATATGAATCAGATTTATCATTTCAGGGCTGGGAAGGTTAAGCAATACAACCATGCTGTCACTTAACTATTAGGATACCTTCTGAGAAGTACGTCATTCGGCTCTTTCATTGTTGTGTGAATACCATAGAGAGCACTTAGAGGGTATAGCCTACTACACCCCTAGGCTATGAGGTGTAGCCTACAAACCTGTCCAGCATATTACTGTGCTGGATACTGTTGGCAACTGTAATGTGTTGCACTATGGTATTACAATGGCTATGACATCACTAGGCGATAGGAATGTTTCAGCTTCATTATAATCTTAGGGCACCACTGTCATATATGTGGTCTTGGTCATTGACTGAAACATTGTTTGTGGCTCATGACAGTCCTGGTGAAAATTCTAATCCTAGTGGCTTTAAGCCTCTCTGTTGATTGAAAGATAAATTCTGAAGTCACTGCTAAGGATTCCCTGCCAATTTTATTTTACCTCCATCCTATGTAGAACTCGGTGTAATTGTGGGACATGAGGGTTTCTAGAGAGCCCAGGAGACCCATCCAGGAAGCCCTGAATAAGGACAGCATTGACTGTTGACAGGTAGTTACTTGTGAAATCCAGAAGTAGATGGCAATATATGCAATCAATCAGCTAGGATTGATTTTCTAGTCCACTTCCAAGTCTCAAAAGATCTCTGCTTTCTACTCACACCAGCATCCTTGCCATGAATTAAGATGAAGAGTTGTGATTGCATACAGCAAAAAGAAGTGATTAAAAGAACATAAATATCCAGACATTAACTTATATTCTGGGCATGCTACCTTCTGCCCATTAAGTTTTTCTTTTTCTGATGCACTAAGAACTACCTTGTTAATGGGGGGTCTGTGATGAAGGCTTGAAGTTCTGAGATCCAAGTATTAGCCCCTGCTCTAACATTTCCTAATCACCTTGACCTGTTTCGTCCTCTAGAACAGGAACTAGATCACATGATGCATTCAATAAGTATTTTCAGAAGGTTTTCAAAAGTGAATCTGTAAAATGGGGATAAATCAGAGCTCAGAGATTTCTTCCAGTCTTGCCATTCAACTGACCTGTGATTCTTTGGTTACAGGCTCATGTCCCTTGTCATTCTAATCCTGTCCTGCAAATGTATACCAACAGAGGAATCTCTTTTTACTCAGTACAATCCTACCTTACATTTTCTCATCCCCTGATAGTGTTACCCCTCAATTATGTTATAGCAAGAAGCAGGTTAACCTGATCATACATTTATTTTTCAAATAGTGATCAGTTGTCAGAGCGCTTTACTGTTTTTAAAGTTCTATACAATATTTCAAAACCTATAAGGAAGTATTTACCTTTTCCTTCCACAGTTGTTTCCTGCTTGATTTCAAGAGTTAAATGAACAGTTTCCAATACCTTGTGTCTGATGTTTTTCCACTCCATTAAAATGCTAAAAGATTTTTTTTCCTCTTTAGAAGGAAAAAAAAATCTTTCCCCTGTAATTTACTTTGGCTTCCTCAAAAGTTGGGTTGGAAAGTCAGTATAATTCAGGTGGAATCTGAAATGTTCTTGTGCCTAAAGGAAGCCTATAATTTCCGAGCTTTCTTTCAGGAAGTTTGTATGCTCTGTTTTCCAGGGAGCCTTTACTTTCCGAGGGAGTATGATCGACATGCCATTACTGAAGCAGGCCCAGAACATTGTTACGCTTGCCACATCCATCAAGGAAAAATGATCTGCTAAATCAAGCTCTCATCAGGTGGGCGGAACATATACAGTAGGTTTCTTAAAGACAGACCATAATACTCAAGGCAACTTGTTAGTATGCCAGATTGGAACCTTTCTCCACTTACAGTTCATGTTAATCACAATTTCTCGTGGTTGTCGTTATCTCACTGGCCAGTTATTCCTCTAAAAATGAACCTTCTTCTTTTTGGTTCCAAGCTTATGATTTTATTGTTCATTAATGTGATATAGCTATGGACTCATTATTTCACAAGGAGATAAAATAGTAGGGAAAGGTGGGCTGGGAGGGGAAGTTAGATCTTTAATGAAACAGGTCTTGCCCAAATAGGTGTACTCCCTTCACCACCCTCACCTTAGATGTTCCCCACAGTGTTCATTTGTTCACTTGACCCCATAAGTAATTTTAAGAAGGGCCAGACTTTTAAAAAATAGTAACTGCAGGAAGGGGTTGTGTTCATTTCACTAGAAATCTGATAAAAACAACAGAGATAGCATAGAAAAGCTGATTATCATCTTGGTTTATATCAATATCTCTAAAAATACATCTTCAAAACCGATGACTGTTAAGCTCCACCCCCCAAAATGAAACATCCATAATCCTTGAACCACTAAGTGATGACTAAGAAAGCCCGCATCCCAGGTCAACAGTTACCAGCAATTAAAAAATAAATGCGCAGAAACACAAGCCCATCCATCTATCCCCTTTATTTCCCATTTAACTGTTTGCCATTGAGGCCATTTCCCCTGTAAATGTATGGCTGGGACAGGCCCCTCAGCAATAAACTTGTAGCCTCTGCGAAGACACAATGCTCGGAGCTGGTGCACATGGTGCCCGGCGAGATTTGCATCACATTAGAGATGCGGCTGCGGGTCAGATGGGTGGTGTGGTTAACGGGCTTAGTAAAGCTGTTTTGAAGAGGTTAACCCAGCTTGTAGGAAGGGTAAATAAACATAACAACCGGCCATTCTTCCCTATTCAGCATGTGCTCTTATATTGAAGGCTAAAGGGTATTGAAGCTGCGGAGGATCAGCTTGTGTTTGCCAGAGGACGCCAATGAAATTTGAAACACCAACAATCAGAGATTTTGTTTCTGCTCCTCATTAAATCATGAGCTTTTGTGCCGAGACTCTGGCGACTGTTCTTTAAGAAATTAACAGAATGGGAAGTTTTAAACTCTACACCAACCTTTTCATGACCTACACAGCAGCAAGGCTGCTACTCTTAGACAAACACCGCGGGGAAGGCTGTTCTGTTTATTTAAATTTGTAAATAGAAAACAGTTTGTTTTTTTATTTTCATTTTTCACCTCCTCCTCTGTCCTTTCTGTTTATTTCCTATGTGGCCCCTTCTGTGTACCCCAACCAGGGATCTACTTTTCCTCTACCTCTTCCATTCCAACAGGAAGCCCAGAGGGGAGTAGAATTGAAGGTTATACACAAGGAAAGGCACTATGGAACCAAAGCAGAGCGGGGAGGCCCACATGTTATCCTGCAACACCCACCCACCAGTGCTCAGCAGGAAGGGGCAAACAGCTTTGCCGGGGACACCAGAGGAACCTGAGCCAGCAGGACGGTTCTGTGGAAACACGTTCTTGAGAAACCAACTAATGTCCCCAAGCATAGGATCCTTGGAGACAGCTCTTAAACCGAGGAGGCATGTGCCCGGCAGTCCTGGCCCGCCTTGGGCAGGGCATCTCCCCTCCTTGATGCTCCCCCTCCACCCACTCATGAGAGCACTGTCACCTTCGCCTTGGTCCTCTGTGATGCTTCAGAGTTAGCAGGAAAGGAAGGTGGGAGATAGCCCTCTCCTCGTGCAAGGGGGCTACAAGGAGAAATATGGCCTCCAGCCACACTGGGCTCCAGACTGCGGACAGGAGCCATGGGCGGCAGTTACAGGAGGAGCAGCCCCCACCCCACCTTGTTGTCGCAATTGTGCCCACCTAGGCTGGTAGCCAGGTGTGCACAAGGGTAATCCAGGACTATAGGTGTCCACACAATCAGACCCCTCTGCTCCGAACACAGACACAGGACTGCTCAGAAGGCAAAGGCCTCCTCTCATTCTGACCTGTCGTATGTACACACACACACCCCTCTCTCAGGTGCTAAAACCGTAGGCAGGACTGGTCTTAAGCAAAAGAGGAACATAAAAACCTTCCTTCATACTTCCCCCACAGGCAACCCTCCACTTCAACCCAACTGCCCTTCCATCCTCTGTGCTGGTCCGGATGACCCCTCCAGGCTCTGACAGGATGAAAGCGCTAGTCTCTACTCCAGTTACACAGGCAACCCCCAAACCCTACCGGGGGCCTCCTCAAGCCAGGACCTCACTGAGCACCAAGCCCTCCCTGTGAGGAGCCTCAGATGCGGGGGTGAAGGCGTTTGGATCTTGGGAAAAGCAGTCCCCTCAGCAAGGCCTCCACACCCATCACCAACAGGCCCACGGGTTCCTGGGTCCCCAACCATGTTGGAACAGTCACCACGCCCTTAATCTCAAGCTGCACTCTGTTCAAACAAAGCCACCTTGCTGTGTAAATCTCCCCAAGCGTCAAATTTGTCATCGTCCTTATAACCCCCTGGTCCTGATTATGGTAGGGTCATGAGACAGGGACCCACTAGAGCCAAAAAATCTGGACCCAGTGCCCAATCTGAGCAGAGACTAATGAGGGCTCTGGAAAGGTTTGGTGGACGTCACACCTGTTGTGCCTCATTCCTTGAAGAATAAAACTTCAGCACAAGGAGATGCTGAGAGATAAGGTCTCTCCTCTGTTTTCTCACCTGCATCTCTTTGGGGGATGGGGCACAGGTATCACAGGGAGTGAGGAACTGGGTGAACTGATCCCACCTAATGTGATGGCAATGCCCAACCTGGCGAATTCCTCTGTGCTAGGAATGGACCACAAAAAGAGGACTTTGCAGTAAATCTGATTCATTAAAAAACATACCTGTTTATATTTTGTGTAGCTCATCACAAACCGCTTTGCCATATCACCCCCCTGTTATTAATTCGTGGGGCCTAAATTATGGGCAACACTATTAAAACATTATCAGAACTAATGAGAAACAATTACTTAGAAAATGAGCCAGGACAAGATTGAGTTGAGAACATCAGTGGTGATCACTGTAGATTAGTTTAATAAATCATCAGGTGCAAAGCAAGACTGACTGTATGTGTGCAAAGCCCTGTCACGGGAAAATGAAATTGAGACCTTTTTTTGCATAATTTTTTCATTAATCTCAATAGGACCCGTGTGGTGTAGATTGTTTTATTCCCCTAATACCTTGCCTGAGGGGGGTGCCCAATAATGTCTTCATTGTTTTACTGAGGTCTTAATGACACTCTGTGACAACCTCATTTTAATGTATAGAGGATTATATCAATACAATCATGTTTTATTGAAACGGTGAGGGACACTCCGGTGGAGTCAGGCACTGTCCCGAAGCACAAGTTGGGAAGTTCCCGGGCATCTGGGAGCTGGTCCCTTCAGATTTGCAAGTGTTCAACCGCTGGCTGCCCTTCCGGCTTGTCCTCCGGGACCGGCTGGGAAAAGTGTCCTCGAGAAGGAAAGACTTCCCACCTCCGATTTGAATTTCAAAGGGACTCGTTTTCTGGCGTATTTTGCTAGGCAAATGGAAAAGACCGTGTAGGGTTGTTTTCCCCTTTTCTAAAATACACGTGCAATTATTATTAACACCTTTGCCCCCAATAGTTTTGCCTGCCGGAAAAACTGATTTTCTTTGGGGACGTTGAATTGCTAACGATATCTTAAAAAGTGAAACAAAAGAAAACACACTTTTTTTAAAAAACTTGAAGAACATTCTACTTTTATGGTTTCCATTTATCTTGGAAAGCTAAATGTCTTGCGTTTTTATTTTTACCTCTAGTTCTTGGAAGACAATCGATCGACGGTACAAAAGAGGCTCTGAGATTGTCAGCAGCATCTCGTGCACATTAATCCTGGCGAGGGTCCCCGAGCCCGGCGGTCACCGCAGAGCTTGGGCCCCAGGCGGGGGCCCTGTCCTCCCAGCCAGAGCCCCTCCCCCCGCGAGGTTTGCATAAGCAGTTTAGGGGTAACGTAATTAGTTGACCTCAACATTTAAATGTTAAAACCTTAGTTATTCTTTCCGGGCTTTATTTTACATCGGGGTGGGCGTGGGGGAGTGCAAGAGGACGAACAAAATGGAAAGTAAATTACTTTCAAATACCTAACTTGGTGCCTGAAATACTGCGCGGCGGGATCGGGCAGCTTTTTGCTGTTCGGTGACGGGTGATTTTTGTTGTTGGAGGTTTGTTTACATTGCAGCAATTATTTGGCAGCACATTTCCTCCCGAATCAGTGAGAATTGCCAACGACATGGAGAAAGGGCGGTGATGGAAGGAACCGAAATCATCGTGAGCGCCTTTTGTGGTCGAGGTTTGCAGCCGATCAAACCCAGTTTCAGCTTAAGGGGGCTGACGTCCACAGATTTATTTATTTTTTTTACAAAAATTTTTAAAGTTGTTGCTCGCGCCCTTACTTTCCTTTGTTTTAGTTTCTCTTTTTTTTTCTTTTCTTACTGAAAGTTCTGTTGCTGCTTCCGACGGGAAGGGCCCGGCGAGCCCGGGCTAAGGA